GTGTGTGTGTGTGTGTGTGTGTGTGTGTGTGTGTGTGTGTGTGTGTGTGTGTGTGGTGTGTGTGTTTGTGTAGTGTGTGTGTGTGTGTGTGTATGTGTGTGTGTATAGATATGCAGCAAAAAACTTTACTCGTAATAACTTTCCAATTATATAACGCAAACTCACAGACTCCGTATGACCGCCACAAAGAGGTTTTTATATTGTATTAAACATTTTTCCCGTTTCCATAGATACGGACTAATAGTTTCGAAATGCGATACTATTTTCCAATAAAGTTCGCTAAAACGTTTAAAACAGTAACGGAGAGAGCACTTCCACCTTTCTCTATACCGATAATGTGATATTAGTGAGTCAATGAAAATTTGTCCTCACTAACCTGCTACGTCCCGTTCACAAGGCGTAGATTGGCCGATCGTGTTATTCGCGACGCACACGTACGTCCGAGAATTAGTGACCGAGGTGTCGAGTAGCATGTAGCTTCGTCCGTTTCGCATTTCGGCGACCTGCTCCAGCGTGTCGTTGTCGTTCTTTAAGGACCAAACGAATCCCGTCTCCTTCGGATTGGCGATGGCCGAGCAGACTACGTAATCCTTTCCCTCGAATCGTTCTTTCTCAATGTGGCATTCTGGTTTAACTGTTCGAGAAACGTTAACGATTTCCAATGTTAAATCGCTTCGATGAGCCGAAAAAAATCGCTTTATGATCGGTCTATCGATTAATGATACGATGACAAGAGTAGATCTGATTCTGAGATTGTATTGAACAGACGTTATTATAAGACGTCAAGGACGTATTTTGAACAGATCTGCTTGAATAAGTTCCAAGATGGCAAATAAGGAAAATGTCATGCATTTTCTAGATGTGTGGCACTTTTTAGATGTGAACTGTTCAATTTAAGAATCTCCTTCGGAGACTGTATTCACTCGATTCAAGTCTAAAGATGCAGTGGAACGTACATTGCACATTCATGACCATCGAGATATTCAGGATACCGTGACGATTCGACGCCTCGCAGTAGTAAGTACCGTTACTACGGCGGGGTACTGGCATCTTCAAGTCAAGTACGTGGCCCTCCACGATGGTGTCGTTAGATCCTTCGCGGAACCACCGAAAGTTCGGTTTCGGTCGTGCTTTCGCATCGCATGCGACTGTCTCTGGCATAGTGTCCACTGTCACGTTGATTATCTTCTTCGAGATTGTGATATTCTCCGGCGGGACTTGAAGGAGAAGACAAGTTTTACTCATCTTTTATCTCTGTGAGCTTAAATCATTACGATCAAGTTCATATCGTCGCGCGATGCGGGCGCGATGAAAATGACATTGTTCGTTAATAATTTCGTAACGGTAAGAATGAATCTCTCCGACTGCATTTCACTACTCTTGAATCTTAAGATTCCGTTGCGTCAAACGACTCCTAGCAGACGATTGCAAAATTAATTATTAATGAATCCAAGTTATGAAGGAGGAATTTCTTTTGTAACATCATTCCTTAATTACGTCTTCTTATTAATGCGAACGGAAATCCAAGAATTAAGGCAGCTTAAATAACCTTTATACGTGTGTACACGCGCGACTCTTTTAATACGGAAAACTTTCTCCGATGACTGACGACGAGAACGTCCCGCGTTTCCTCTACACCGATCATTCAAAGTCGCGCAATCAAATATAAGCAGGCGGAGATGTGTCACTGCTAAAAAAGCACAGAATGGAACGTACACTCGACGTGAAAGTGAGTGCTGCTCTCTACACCCGGGCCAATCCCGTTGCTGCTGCTTTTGCAGGTGAATTTGACGTTATCCTCGGCACGGTCGAGATGACCGTTTGGCCAGACCGTCAGATTCCATACGAGAGTCGATTGGATGCTCTCGAAGTCGTTGGTCCTTGGATCAGGCGGATGATAAACGTTCGACACGTAGTACCGATTCGTTTTCGAGAAGTCCATGGGAATGTCATCTCTCAGCCAGGAAATATTGCAGATCGGGGCGCACTCGACCCAACACATGATGCTCACGTTAGGCCAATTGTAGGCAAAACCGCGATACGAGTGCAGCTTCTTAATGAATGTCGGGGCCGCTAATGAGGAGCGACAATTTTTGATTAAGCGTGATGAGATTTGACATTTGATACTTGGGACAGACGTCAGACGCGTCTAGCAAAGGAACACACATGCATTATTCAACGTAGAGTATCAGACGGCAAATCAATACACCATGGCGAATATTTTACTAACAAGATCAAAAGACGAATAAATTGTGTAAAATTGCAACGCGTGGTGTCTCGAAATTCCCGAATTCGTGACTTTAGTCAGAATGCGTGCGTGAGATATATAATGAGCGAATCGATCTGAATTGCCCTCCAACTCTAAAATATCATTATTGGGACTGGCGTCTGAAATGCCGCTGTGCAACTCAGTAATTGCTGGCTGTAGTTTCGGGTGCATTGACATGTGTCGCTCACCAGATACGTCGATAAACGTTGTGGCTGGGTCGCCGTCGCCGGCTTCGTTATAAGCCAGGCATGTGAAATTCGCCTCGGTTTCCAAATTAACCGACTCGATGACGAGGGTGGCGTCGTTCTCGTCTGGAAGTCGGTGCCAGCCGCGCAGCCACTTGAAGCCCGACACCTTCGGTCGTCCGGGATCCAAAACGAAGCAAGTGATGGATAATGGCTGTTTCTTCACTACTTGCTGAGGTTCGTACGATATCGATGCCGGGCCGGGCTTATCTACGGAAATGTTCCGGGGATATAGGATACGAGAGACGGGCGCTCGCTAAATATAATCCGATTAATATAACAAGATGGGATATACACTGTGACTGAACGCGATAGTTTGCATACATATGCAAGATAAAGTCTTCGATCGATAACTTATCGCTGTCGCTCTTGTAATTAGCGTCGAGTATCAATGAGCGCTCTTACGCGACGTTACGACACATTGACGGGTAAAATATCGCAGAAACCTCCGTAACTTACGACGCGGTGCACCGTCACTTTCGAAAATTTCTATCGGCAACTCCGTGCGACTTAATTTTCTTTTTAACAAACATGAACACTTTATATACGCGACGGTGTTATTTCACGTAAAATTCGTCCTCACCGCCGGGAGCCTACTATAAAACGACGGACGTAACAAATTATGACCGTAAACATGATAATCGTATCGGCACTTTTTTCGCCATCACGGCATAGTAAGAGTGAGTGACAGAGAGGACTTACAATAAACTACGACAGGCGTGCTCGGAGAGATTGGTCCCCAGCCGGCCTCGTTCCTCCCCTCGCAGGAGTAGTTGCCGTGAAAGGAACGGCCGACGGCCTCCAACAGTAGCTTGCTAGGGTCGATGTCGCAGAATGTCAACGATTCCTCGGTGGTCGTTGTCATGGCAGTGCTGTTTCTCGCGCAGTCCGGAAGTTCTTTCAATAGATCACCGTCCAAATACCAACGGACGGCTGTCAGCGTCGCCGGATTGCCGGAATCGACGTCGCACGTTAACGAAACGTTCAGACGATCCGCCTCGTTCACAGGTGTTTCCGGATCCATTATTACCTCCACTACTGGTTTGTCTGCGTGATAAAACGGAATATATACGTGCAGGTATAAATCACGCGCGCGAGTTCAACGGTACGGTCGCGCCGAGCTCTCCAACTTTATTCTCGATATAATCGCATAGCTTTCAATAAAGCGCTGTCGTTTTCTAATAAAAAAATGAACTGCTTTACTGGAAAGCTATATCGTGAGAAATAAGATGGGCGAGGTGCTCCTTCGGCGATATATATATAATGATGCTCCTTTTTCGGATTTTAGATTTAATATTACTCGAAGCTTTATGATTCGCGCATCAGAGATCGAGTTGCGATTTTGAATTTTATCGACTGCTTCGTGTTACATAGTCCGCGATCAGCTGCCTGTTATCTGGCGCGCTGTGATACGTACAAAAGACCGAAACTTCCACGACGTCCTCGGAAACGGTTGAGCCGGCGTTGTTTTCCAGGATGCATTTGTAAGAACCCATGTCGCTAGGAGTCGCGTTTTTCACTGTGAGTGTTGTTTGTTCTGTGATTCCGCCGTCGTAATGGTCGTCGTTTAATACTAATTCTTCGTCGTCTCGTAACCTACATTACCCGAGAGAGATCGGGAGAGATAAAATAAAGAAAGTGGCAATTTATTTTCGAAAACCTGAGAGGGAAAAAGAGAGAGAAAGTGTATGTGTGTGTGTGTGTGTGAGGAAAATAAAATGGAAACGTTTCTGTCGCTAATTTATTCTTAATTAATTGGGACAGTGTCGTTTTCTAATTATTTGACGACATTACCGTCACTTTGAGGAGTTAACTTGCATTATTAATTAGACTTATTGGCTCTTCCTTTAATTATTGATTAGATATCAACAGATTCAGTTATTTATTAAGTTAGAGTACATCTATGGTGAAAAGTATTACTCACCATGTTACTTTTATCAGCGAAGCCGGATTTGCCTCGTAGTCGCAGAATATTAAAAAATCGTCTGTTTCGTTAACCGTTAAGTTGCCTGGCTTCATTTTAACTATCGGCGGATCTGCAACAGACAAAATGATAAACGTTAAGTACAGTAGAAACTCGATTTAGACGTAGGTGCAGAGTGAAGAAAGATTTGTGCTAGAGAAAATCAAATGAAACAGAGCAAGAATTAGATGTCTATATAAAATCCAGTTTAAAACAGACAATCTTCATCTCTTCTTGTTGAAGAAACTTATTAAAATAGTTTTTCTCTAGTATGATTCTTCAATTGAGTAAAAAATTAGTTCATAATGTTTGAGTGCTCAAAGTGTCTGACCGCGCAATGAGGGAAACGGATCGCAAAATGTGAATCAACCTTTTCTGAAATCTCTTCTTAACTTTTAATCCATTTTCGTTTTCATGAAGCAAAGAACTTCTTCTATCGTTTTTATACTGAAGTTGTAGCGATCTTTTTATCTTCGCGATCATCTCCTGTTCAAGATGGATAACGCGAAACTTAAATTGAATGTAAAATTCAGATTCGCTTGGGTCACAATATTATGCACTTAACGTGGCCCGGCAGAATGAGGGATATAAAACAAAATTCTCTCGTAAGTACGTAGACGCGAGAGTGGCCTGTCACGATGCTAGAGCCGGAGCGCTGGAAACGTGCCAAACTCGATGTCTGGAGTTTCTCGTTTCCAATCCGTGGATAGTCCTCGTTCTGGCTGCAAAACGAAAGTTTCTCCGCCATTTCGCGCTGTAACTGGAAACATCAGGGGAGATACACAACCCGTCCGTCTTCTTTTTGCGTGTTCCCGCGCACGCGTAATCAAGACCTCGCATCTTGAATAGGAAAAAAGTCACAGCTGCGACATCAGCATTTTGGACGTTGAAGTATCATAAGCGTGCGACGGTCGATATTCCGATAAAGTGACTTTGACGTAATGGCATTGTTGGACTTTAAAGAAGAGTAATTACTTGACATCAATTGCATAATCTGAAAAAATCATTTTCTTTTCTTTTAAATTTCGCCTAATTGGTTTTTCTCTGGTGGTTGAGAGTTTCTTTTTTCATTTTTAAAACATATCGTAATAGATCTGCACGCTAAAAAACATTTTGTATTTATGTGCTGAAATCGGTCCGTGTAGAAATTTTTGTGTTAGGTTTTTCATATACTCGGGTATTAATTTAACATATTATCATTGTGTCATTTTGACTCTTCTGCGTAGAGAGTTTACCATATCTCAGTGTTAAGATAACGCAATTTATATGTAACACGTATATATTCGTAATGAGATATATGTGTAAAGTGTACAGATTAGTTATATTATTTGTTAACATATTTGTCTTATGTTAAATTAACACGCAAATAACGAATAAGTTGTGTTAAATTTAACACTAAATTTTTTGTAGTGTCTACTAGGTACTTGTATTTCCTAATATTTGATGTGATGAAGAGATAAAATGGAATTTTTGTCAAAACTACCAGAACTGTGTTACCAGAAAATCTTGCGGAAAAGTGCAGAAGTACGCTAGCAGTAGTTGTCTCTCTATTTCCGATTCCCTTAAGCACGGTGTATCGACGTTAGTCTGCAGGAGTACGCGACCGGAAAAATCGTATAAACGTTGTGCGATTTGAAAGCTACTCCCTCGAAAGGGCAGCATAAATATTTATCGGACGGCGAAACGATAAATATTCTTGGACCATAAAACTTCTTTCCTCCTACCGTTCCGAAATTTTCAATCGCTTCTTTGAGCAGCTTTCCTTTGATTTCTGTAGCGTAATTCGAAGTCTCTCTCTCTCTCTCTCTCTCTCTCTCTCTCTCTCTCTCTCTCTCTCTCTCTCTCTCTCTCTCTATACTCTCTTTCTGTCTACGAGATCTCCAATTATATCTTCATTTTTATGTTTCTATTAATTTTACGATTTATTTTCGAGACTCTCTTCCTTATTCCGCTCGGCAGGTTGTCGACTTTGACGAGAGATAAGAACAGTCGACAAGACTCGCAGAGACGATAAGAATAAATTTACAATTCCGCGATACACCTTCTGCGTGTTTCTAACGGGTTCATAAAGTTAGTACTTAAAATCGGTTCTATACACTGGGATTATAGCGATTCCGCGTTTTAAGTTTCGTTTTGCGGTAACGGCGAGTGAGTTTTCGGTCTGCTAGGTAACTTCTTCTGATTGTTCGCCGCGAACTTACGTAATTTCCATAACATTATGCTGATGAATGGCGTACGGGTATGCGGAGTTATTTATTTAAAGGATTTACTTTATAAGGGCTAAGTGCATGCAAATGTTAATAACCGCCTTCGCAGTTCGCGCAGATACGCGCAAACGTAGAATATGCTCGCAGAGCGCTATGCAAATATATGTATTTTAGGTTACAACGCAATTTTGTTGTAACAGCCACTGTTACAATGTTATTAACCGTAATCGTAATGATTAAAAATTACATGGACTACAGTTCCTCCGCCATTATTGCCTGCGAAAGACGTAGGACATCAGTACTTGATCTAATTTTCTCATAAAATTATTGTATGTCCACTTGGATCGATTTCCATCTCTTGCGAGGAGGTATTATCTTCTGCATTTTTTATTTCTTTCTTTTACGTGAGCACAAAGAAATCAGAGAAACTGCGTATAGATAGAACACTGTGAAATATTAAAGCGGAAGGCTTGTTGGTGCCAACAATGGGTTAGCTCGCTCGTTACTTCGACCCGTGATACTTACATAACACCTCGATCGTGGTCGTTTCCTTCATTGGTTTCAGATCTTCGGTACGGGTTACCGAATTCTCGGCGTAACATTTGAATGTTTTGCCGTTGTCGTATACTGACGCTGTGAAAGCGAGATAACTTGTCGTCTCTGAAGTACCGTCCTCCTGCGAACAGAGAGTGGTTTTAAGCGGTCGATGGAAATAATGTCGAACTTCGATTATTTATGCCGCTAGTTTTGCTAAGCGCTTCGGCCAAGTATTTAAATTAGAACGGTACTTATGAAAAACGATGGGCATTACTGGGTTGGACGCGCTTATTTCCCAACTAGATCCTTCCGGTCATAATTCTGACCGCCGCTTAAACCGTTCTAATTTGTACGCGACAAGAATTGATATATAATAGCGAGGCATAAATTATAGATTGTGTTTAGAGATACTTTGTGAGAAACTCGCCAAGTTTTCGATAAAAACGGCTTGCCAAATTTTCGGTAAAAACGGTCAGTTTCGAATTACTTTAATGTTTTTAACTGTATGAACTTGACTATTAGATTTCTGTAATATATGTTTTTATATCGTTGACAAGAGAGCGCGTAAAATTTGAAAAATATCAACGTCCAGTGGAAAATAGTACAAGGCTGCAAGCTGTATTCGGAGTTTTATTTAACTTAAATTAGTACGTAATTATCTTTAATTCGTGATAACGTTAATTAAGTTTTGCATATACATATTCTCGTTTCATATCATATTTTCATTGTATTTTATCATATAATTAGCTGTAGCTTTACAAACGTACGAATTTCCAGTTGACTTTTCCTTGTTCGATACAATTTTGGAACTCGATTACAGTGAAATAGCGGCGATGTGGAAACTTGAGACATGCTAAAAAAACAATTGACTCGATATATTTCGATAACGTAACGATGAAAACTCGAATTTCTATCGCGAAAACGCGTTTATTGCATACCATATTTATATATTTTATGTAAAAAATATAAAACTTCGTTTTGCACAGAGATATATTTAATCAGTCAATTTGTTTCAGCTGCTATATTTTTTCCCTTTATACTAAAGTGAAAATTGAAACACAATTTTTAAATTTTTTTCCAGGGAAAATTTAACTAAATACAACATAAAAATTGAAACTTTGCTTGACACAGTTTCTCTAGAGATATCTCCTATGTAGAAAAATGATTTAATTTAGATTATTTAGATTTAATTATTTCGAGGATATTATTTTGTACATATGCGCGCGAGAGATAGAGAATAATTAACGCATATAAATTTTACATATTTTTTTATACTTAAAATTTGCAGAGTGCATGTCAAAGCTGGCCGACATGTTTATTGCATAAAATTTGGTATGACGTAATATGAATTAATAATTAATTATACAATGAAAAGTGAGATGTACGCGTTAATTTAAGTAAAATTTTTGAAAAACCTCTCAGAAATGATAGCCATTTTTGTCTCTACGTTGTCATAGCTCGTATAAAAATTGTACGTAAATAGAGCCAATATATCCCCGGTCAATTCAATTTTAAATCAATCGCAGATCAAATTCTCCTCTTTTATTATCCTTCCAGATAATCTTCCTTATCAACTTATTAATTGATTTTCAGCGAAGCGATTTGTCATTCTGTGTGGCGTCAATCGTTTTACTGAGAAGAAGGGGGAGGGGGGAATCCGTAAAAGCATATTAAAGGAGAACACGAGACGATACTCGCCGGGAAACCTTTGTAAAGCCACCTCGAATTACGCGTTTATAATATCCCGCTTCGCGCGAAAGGGAGTAATCAAGCTCAAAAATGTGATCCGCTTAATCCCGTTATGACGCGACGCTCACATCGGCAGAAATTTGCGGCGTGTAATTGCTTGCCGCTATGTAGATACGAGGTACGCTATCAGGCACTGCGTCGTTAACGGATTTAGTCGCGCCACCCTGCGTCCCAGTAATCAGCCACTTAGTAAACAATGCTAATTATGATATCGCGATCATTGCGGGATTGCAAATGTTAGAAAGATAAATCGATAATCGCGATGACGCGGCCATGTCGGACGATTCAGGTAAATAGCCGATTCGTTAGCTATGCCGACGCGGCGGTTCTTCCTCAAATAGTGTTAATTGACAGCGCATAATGAATCGGATTCGTCGCACGCGTTATCTTACTGTTCCGCACTATCGCGTAATGCTCGTCATGCTGGTAGACTAATTGTATCAGAGATCAGTGTTTGTACATATAAAAGAAAAATTATCACTAGATGTGTATCTGTAATATTACATATTAAAATTGTGAGTTTTATAATGTGAATCGCGTTTGGATAGATTTTCTTTTGTCTCCACGAGATTATTTCTCTATAATTTCGTTGTTTTAAGTATTCTAACGTAACATTCGTGCGTTGGTACGACGAGAGTAAAACGATCGAGATAACCGTGATGGACGTTGCTGTCTCGTCCAATGAGACATTTTTTATGCATAAAGAACTCTTTGTTATCAAGATATCATGCTATTTCATCTACTTTATGATTTTTAACTATGGCGACGTTTATATCTCTTTTCCCTTTCCTTTCTTTTTTACGCTAATTGCATCACGTAGGTATGGGTGGTCCCGTATGCAGTCATTTCGCGTGCACGTGGCTTTATAGCCTCAGATACTTCCGTAATGGATTTATGATAGCTGCGTGACGCCTACGACTTTACATGCATATATACGTATACGTGATAGCGCAACGACGCGATACATATATATGGTAGAGGTCTAATGATTTTTCGATGCCGCCGCCATGCAGCTACTTGCTCGGCTATGAAATTGATTTTTTACAAGGCGAGAACAAAACAGTGCCACGTGACTCGAGGGTAAATCACAGTTTCTTGACGTTTTCTCTCGGAAACTATTTCATTTCGTCTCGTTTCATTTCATCTCGTTTCACTTGAGTTTTAAGGATTATCGACCGCTTTGGTAATATTCAAAAAATGATCAACTAGATTGTGAAATGTAATATTTTCGCGAGTTTATTAATTATAATTTTGAAAATTTTTGAAAAATACCCTCTGTTTAATGTGAAAGGATTTACTTCTATCAGACTTTTTATTTTTTAATTTTCGCCAACATTTTTCTATCGCGTGCTTTCGCGCCAGCAGCTTTTATGGAGTAGAGAGACATTGTTCGTCTATTTCAGCCGCGCGAAACAATGGAAGGATAAATCGCGGGTAATGTGGTCTTTTTACACGCGAAATCCCGGTTTTAAACAAAGCTAAATCGTAGCTAATAAAAACTGGATATACTCCGAGAAGAAGCTTCGAGAGGTGCATCGATCGGCCCTAAATCGTCCACGTTGCTGGATTCTAAATTCGATTCGACTCCACCACTTTTCCTGCGAGCTAGCGAGCGAGCAAAAATTTGTTGCCTCGCAAAACGTTCAATGGGAATTAAAATGTACGACAGGTGCTGTATCGATCGATTTAGAATTTCCCGGAACGCTGTAGTTTCGTGAGTTACTGCGGCAACTTGCGAGTCTGTATGCTCTCATCTCAAGTAAGTAACCGAATTAAAACTTTCGCGAAGCGCTATTCATTGTCGCGTGCCACCTAGCATGCTCCTCCTGTACATTTATTTTGATGCAAACGACAGTAATGCCGGCGCGAAATTCAACGCTCCGTGAAGAACGCATATTGGGAGAGCACTGTACAGAGTGTCCGGTAATGGGCGTATTCAGCGGACGGGGAAATACCCCTTTCGCTTAGAACTGAAATCATCTTTCTCTTCGCCGCGATAGCAGAAGATATTAACTGTTTTTCGAAGTTTTAACTATAAGGCACTTTGGCAACTGCGCCACAAAGTACTGTTAAGGTAAAATCCACCCGATATTACGGTCTAACGTCCTTCTTAAGGAGCAAAACTATTTTATATACTTCCTTTTCTCTGCCAGTAAGAATATTGTCACGTGTATTTAGTTAAGACTTACGTCTGTGTTACCAATATTTGTCAGCAACTTGCTGCGTGCAAAAATGCGCCCTATTCAATGACTTTGCATGAGAAATAAATAAGCGATCTAATATGTAAATAATATTACGACCATGATTACATGGTCATATAGACACGGACAAATAGTTATTCCAATGGCGATAAGGAAATTAGCCGCGAACTAGGGCGGAAGAAATGGCTTCACCTGCGCTAGACGTAAATACAATATCGCGGCGTTTACTCACGTTTTCGTGTACTTTCGTCCTAAACATCTCGAGTCTTTCGTTGTTTTTGCTCAAGAATTGCGTTCCGTTTTGCCAGGTCACGTTGGCGGGGGGCCGAGCTGCACGTACCGTGCACTGCAATAAGATCTTGGTGCCCTGCACGACATGCCCAACCACTCCGTCTAAGTCCATCTTCAGCGGGCGTACTGTAAAGATAATAGCATCGTAAGAAAACCGTGATATTATCCGGCTATTAGCCGCGATGCGGCAATTAAAATTGATGTTTCTATAAATATTTACGTAGCACTCAGCTCGGTCTTGTTTAAGTGGATGGTCGCGCAAAATGTCTATCTCGAAATGAAAAAGAGAACAAGGAATATTAAACGTCCAATTAAATATATAATTTTGTATTCGAATAATATATTTTTAAATCACACTATGTATATAGAAAGGAGAATGTTAAAAATAGACCATTTTGGTCTATTTCCATCAATGGAATTTTAATTAATTATCGGCAACTGTTTGTAAGAGAAAAACGAAAAAATCAGGGAAAGATGAAGAGGGGAAGGGAGGGTTAGTCGTACATGCATACTCATCACTCTCGTTCGCATAAACATACATTTAATTGTCTATAATTTCCTATATATCTCTACGATACATATATATCACATGTGAATCACAAGATTAAATTTTCAACATTTACTATTTACCTATATATAAATGTGCAATTGATTTTATTTTAAAGTCATATGAAAGATATAAAGCGTAAAAAACACTTCATGTGACTCTTTCAATAATCAATAATAAATCCTGATTTTCATAAGTTTCCACGGACCTGACGGATAAATAATTTTCTAATAAATAATTTTTAGAAAGGTTTAGAAACAATTACCAGTGATTAGTTAAGGTTCCGTCAGTGGGTGGAAAATAGTTTATTTTTAACATTCTCCCTTGTTATATTATTATAATAAAAATCGTGGGTTTTTATTTTCATCATTTTTCGATTCTTCTATATTTTTATCTTGTCCTTTAATGGCGATATCGCGGCAAGAAGGAAAGAATATTTTTACATTGTCATATCGGGGTGACGTTGAAGGTTAATTGTCATGCGCGATTATGTATATTAAAGCAATAACCATCGATGTACTATGCTTTAATATCCGCGCACTTTTCGCGCCAACGATATAGCAGCAGCGACTTTTATAATTTGAACAAATTTTATATTAAACGAGAGAAACAGTTTACTTCACTTTTCTAATCTGATTGATTATTAGTTAGGTTTAATTTCTGGCAGTCACACATGTATATGCATACTCGCATGCGTATTTATGTTTGTGTTTGATAAACATTTAATGTTTGTCATTGAATATATATGACAATTGAATTGTGCAATTTGAATTTAATATATTAATGACTATTACAGTACAAACTATTGTTACATCCCTCGTCACGATCTAATTGGTACATACACGAACTCAGAATAGGTTCTCGGCGGGAGAGAATGATACGAGGACAACGGTAAAAAAAGAGTACCCTATTCAACACTATCTACTATCTCTTTATATCCTCCCGTTCATCCTCACAACTGCCGAGCCTTAAACACCATTTGGGTACGTAAACGGCCGTGATTTTTGAACACTGGCGATCGTATCCTACAACGTTCATGGCAGCCCTTTGTGCACCTCAGTAAAGCCGCCAAGTACGGCGCATTTCTGTAGCCGTCTACCCGATGCTAGACGTGCTGCCATTTCTGTGTGCCGTCTGGGTACACAGAATAGAGCCGCCCATAGTCAGTCGCAGACGTCATGTAATGATGATTGTGCGATATCTGAGCTTCTCATGGCGCCGCATGGACATTAGGTTTCGTATGTGTAATCCGGGTGGCAGAGCCGACGCACGATTGAATGTATGCGCGAGATGCACGAAATGTCAATGTCGACAGTTTCATATCGCCTCTGACGTTTTCTGACGTGAGACGGAGTTATGGTCGTGAGCGCGCACGGTTGTGCTGGAAAGTATGGCAGTACCGAGAGCGGATCTCTCTCCGTGTACACAATCCTTTGCCCGGGAATCGTACGGTAGGATAACTGTTGCTATGACGGTGTTGCACGTGAAATTTCGCGCACACGTTGAAAATTACGAGGATCGTGTTGTTTGAGCGGTTTTAAGCAGAAATATATCTCAATTTGAGCCTGTATAACTCCGTATAGCTATTATTCCAAATTATGCGCTACAGATTATTTTGCGGCGCAATGGTAACTTTAATAATAGCATCGTGATCGTACACTTGCGTGCGTTAACTCGCTCTCGGGACACTGTGTATATCGACATTGTAGCAGAGATGTCGATGGCACGGATCGACAACTTTTCAATGCTTATATCGCCGGCCTTGTTCTGAAATTCACGGTTAATGGAATATTCGAAAACTGTCATTTCGCACGCGCGCGCACGCGGTATCGTTAAATCGATCCGGAAGTTCCTCTACGGGGACATAAGCCCCACGATAAAAACGGCCTATAGGAGCGTGTTAAACGGCGACGGTATATCCGTGGATGCACATGTAGATATATCCATTAGCGCCGATGGATTTCGGGTAACGGGCCGTCACGTACATCACCGTGTACCGTGAGATTCACGATCGAGTTTCCCCCGAGCTATTACACGTATCTCCGGATTTTTGCACGGACATTATCAGAAATTTAGCTAGACTCCTCGTTAAAACGCTCGACGGAGCAGTCTAGTTTCTCAGTTGGATAATTTCAAGCATTATCGCATTAATTACGCACATATCTATATGTACGTGTCAGTTTGTATGCCAAAAGATTTTAGTTATAGAACCTTCAGCGAATATACAGTGTTTTGTAAAGCTTTCACTGAGAACAGATATATTCTTTTTTCATATATTCTTATTCAACTATTTTTGACAAAAAATCGATTTGACCTCGCTATATATATTTTTTACATTTTAAAATTGCACTTTTCCCCCTAAGAATCGACGTCCTTAACGTCGATACGTAACTGTTGTGTGTTTCAGTGGACTGATCGTTGATGGTTCTCGTGAAGGTATTCAGAAAACATCGACCGATAATTCACCGGCAAAACTCGGTGAGCGGTGCTCAATACAAGAAGAATACGAAAAGAAAGGGCGCGGAGTCGGAATAGAGAGCGAATGGCGAATCTAATATCGGGAATTGCATTTGCCTTCAATTGCTCCAACTGCACTTCCCTACCTGATGGCACTGGTGGGTGCAGAGAAAGAGGGAGAGGGACTGGCGTGGAGGAAAGAGGACGGTGACAGAGGTGCGGAGAAAAAGGTAAAAAGTCGCATCTCCTTTGCGCAAATAGTTTTTTCGTCGGGAAATGTGCTGACGCTTTTGATCCTGGAACAAATCTGTTCGCCGACGTTTACTTTTAATCCATACGGATGATAGCGGATTGCATTATCGGACGCGTTTTATCGCACCTAACAATGCTTTTCAAAGGTATGACGTGGATGCATTGTTCGGCGTGTGATGGTGTAACTTGTTTCTACGAAAATTCGTGAGTGAACTGTCTTCTTGTTCACTCTTCTTTGCGTTTGGCACAGGAGAGAGAAAGAGGGGGGGGGGAGGGGGAGAGAGAAAGTAATTCGTCATTCATCACTTTACTTAACTGTCAATTCACAGTTAGTTGATTTAAGCTGGTTGACGAAGCAAGCTTAACTTTCGTGCGCAATACTGTATGAAATGTGGTAAACCATGAAATGGGGCATGAAATGGGGTAAACGACAATGGAGAGAATAAATCTATGAAAACTTGATGGATCTCCAATAGTTTTGATAATCTTTAGAAGCTTAATATTTCTGTTCAAGTAACGCAATTAAGAGCAGGTTCTGTGAACTGTTCCAGTTGTAACAATGTCGTAGAGATACTGCAATAATATAAAAGAGACAGAGACGTCCTTGCGTTTTGCGGGAAGTTTTTACGGGACGCTAATTGTCTTTTTCCGGATAGCTCTAAAACTCGAAAGACACGAGATATTTTCTAACGACGGTCCGGATGCGTACGCGCGCGTACACACTTCAAGTACAAGATTAGTTGTCTGAGAAATATCAAAGAAAGAAAGAGAGAGAGAATTATTTCTAGATATTCACCATTCAACCATTTTCCTCTTCGGCCGAAAATTTCTGAGAGTTCGCAACCCGGTAAGCCGACCGCGAGACTTTTTAAGTCTGTAGCCGATGGCAATGCGATTTCCTGGTTTTGTTTGCCTATAAGAAGCGCACCGCCTGAAAACTCCGTCAGGTGCCTGCTCGCGAGTTCTCGTCACTCCGCAACCTTGCTTCCACGACTTTCAACGAGCAGCTGCGGGGCCGTGAGATTTTCGCAGATATCCCACGGGCATTCGCGACATTTCCACTTTAAATTCACCGCGAGTCGTTAAGAACGGTTCACCGGAAGTTTATATTTATATTTTCCATATCGAACTGACCACGTGCGTGCATGTTCGCGCACACGTTCGCATTGAAGAATTCCAAATTGGGCTTCGTGTTGAAATTCGACGAGGCGACTGTTGTTTCCTTTCATTCTTGTTGTTATTTCAGTTTTGTGTGTTCTATCGACAGTCCGTCTGGTTTTTATCGTGACAAGCCATTTTTCACAACGGGGAAGATTAAATCGATTCTTTTAGACGCGTTACTGAAAGCATTAGTCGATATATTGTGGTTTATGATATATATATATATATATATATATATATACACTCTGTAAAAGTATGGTTAATAGAAGTAACGAAATTTTCAGCAGAGAATGTAGCAAGTTTCGATGAAATGGGGCAATCTAGAAGTACGTATATCTATATATAGCCGGTGAAATACTATATTGGAAAATAGCTTGGGAGCACTCGACTGTCGGTCTTTTTATCTTCTCTTTGGCAAAATAAAAATAGGTTTATAAAATAAAATCCGTTACTGTTAAGTATTGCGTGTGGCGTATGATTAACGTTTGACCCATAATTTATGTCTTTATCTCGACGAGAGATTGAGGCCTTGTGCGAGACTGTTTTGATATCGTTACGTTTTTCTACTAGTAAATAATATTCTACTACAAATAATATATTATTAACCTTTCTTAAAATTACATTTTGAAGCAGTTGAAAAGAACACGCAACAATTTCTCAGTTTAATGTCTGTCTAGCAATCTTACATGCCATTGTGTTTTCCTCTTAATCGCAACAGCGAATTGGGCGAGTAACGAGACTGACGCTATCTTATGATCTGATGACATAAATTATTGCATGATTTACTTATTGGAACTAAATCATTTTTATCGTGATGTTTATATCACCGCAACCCGATTGTAATCGTCGAGAGCTAAAAGTAGCGACAAAAACTCTCACAGCTTTATCCGCATTCGTGTATTATTACAGTACGAATTACACACAGTAGAGACATTAAAAGTCCACGTTTGTAAGAAATTAATTTCCATTCTGGTAATATCACGATGTCATATCAATTAAACATAATTACTGCCTGAGTATCAATAAATGTATGATTCGTTTGTGAGAGATTAACGCAGTAATTTAGCAAATTTATTAACCGACGTGCATCCATACGATAGCAAGGAAATTAATCTCGACTTCAAAGTTAATAACGTCCATTTTATTCGGCATGCGCCGAGAATTACGCGTAATCGAATATTTGTACAATATCGCGATGATATTATGCGGTAATACAACACGTGCGATGATTGACCACCGTTACTAAATTTCTAATCGCAACGGAGAAAGAGAGAAAGAGAAAGGAAGACGGGGGAAGAGTGAGAGAGAGAGAGAGAGATAGGAGCTAATACACGTTAATATATCAGCGATCTTATGCATCCCTGCGTACGCAAGGGAATCTCTTTTCGCGAAAGTGATGGACATTTAATTATTTACAACATAGAAAATTTACGCGCGGATTCGCAATTGTGCGCTTAACTAACGGATACTGCAACCCGGTATGTTATAATTACAAGTACCATCGTAATAACACGTGTATTTTGCTAGGCGAATTCGTATACAGCGAATGCATGGAGGTGATAAAGAAACGATTAAATTCCTGAATATTTTAGCCTCGTTTTAGCCACGGTGGCGTTGCGGTGGGATGGGGGAAAAATCGCGTTTTTCTTACTTAGACGGTGTAGTTTGCTTGCGCGTCGTTAAAATTATAGAGGAGCACGTAGTCTACCGCGGATACATCGTTTAGTAAGTTGAGTAATTTATGGGCCGCCGCAGTTTTAAATGCAACGGCAGTGAGCGGGTTATTAAAACTGCTTGCCATTTATATGAAAACGGCATATCTCGGCGAAGCAGAGGGTATTTTCTAAATTACATATACGCGGTACAGTTAATAGGAGAATTGCACGAATGTATCGCCGTGATCTTGATATATCGGAGCGTCGACCATACGTTGCGATAATTCGACGTAATGTGCGGTATAATTTATGCAATTAAATTAAGTGTGTTTTCTCTGGCCGAGTAATTAACAATGCATGTGATGCATATTTTGCTTCATTTATAAACATTAGTTCGACGCTTCACGAGGCAACACAATGTAAAACTTTATAGTTACCCGGGTCGCGTATAAGAAATGCACAAGAGTACTTTACATACTCCTGTATAAGTTTCTTTTTTTCTTTTTTTTTTTTAACCACAGCAAGAGTTTGAGAAATTGTGCTCTGAATAATCGATTCGCCGACGCCTTCACCTTATTTCAGCCTGTTTAACGCGTACGAAAAAATGTACTTCGGAACTCTACTACCGCGGCGATAATGAACACGCGGTGAAATTATACGACCTACATTACACGTTATGGTTACACGTTACACACATTCCGCGCTATAGTACAATCTGAATTAGCTCTATCCGATGTGCGCGTGTAAAAAAGACTGGATACACAACATATAAAATTCCACAGGGAAGTTTAGAAATATGTTCTGCCGGTTTTCCGTAAAAATTCGGTGGAAGAGTGGTTTATGACTGGTACACGGTTCTGTTCGCGTGCAGGAATTCAAATCCGAGATGTAAACCACTTTCCCGCATCAAATCGAATTTCGTGTACTCTCGCTTTACACGAGCCTCTTCAAAAGCACGAAGTCTGCACTCACATACCTCTTTGCGCGAATTTCACATTTAAGCGCGGAGCCATCCTTCAAAGCGAATTCCGAACTTCGTGTCCGTGGATCGGCAGAATTGCATTATTGTGCGATAAAATATGGATGGCCATATGCGATCCAACGCGTCTTCCTGTTTTATTGCCTTCGTCAAGCTATATTTCTTACGGGGTTAATCCCGCGACGAGATGCAAATGAGCAAACGCTCGCGCGAAACTGCGAAATAACTCGCGAAGTCGGATAATGTCGCAGTATGCTGTATGAGTAACATTAGAACAAAACCTCCGCTTTAAGTACACTATTATGTTCTACGGGATGAAATGGTCGCTTGACATGTCTGAATTTCGTGTCTCGGGAGCGTTTAATAGTGCACGCACGTCCGCGGACGAAGTATACCTATTCCATTTCATAATATATAAGCATAATATATACACGTATATTAAATTAATTTCACACAGACGTACACGACCTCGTATTAATGAATTTAAGTTACCATGCGATATAATGCGCTTTATCAAAAATGCTTGAGAAAATGGGAAATATATCAGATATTTACATACGTTATGTGCATATGTTTAATATTAAGAACTTTAAACAATCACTCAATAGCTTACGTAAATAAATAATGATTGTTAGTTACTAGCTAGTTTTTATTGAATGTTAAAGTTGAACATTCATTATTATCAAAATTCTATATTGTTGAAATTTAAAATTATACATATATTTATACAGATATATTTTTATATAATTTGACGTGTTTAATTATCCAGACATAATATTTAATATTTGTGACATCGAATTAAAACTCTTGTTCGGAAACATCTCTGGCGTTGTATAATTATGAAAGTTTATGAAGAATATTTCTTTTTCTATCTCTTTTTTTATAATTTATTCTGAATTTTCCACGACCTGCTATGTAATCTTTTTGATATAATTTTTTTTTAAAGTATTGAATAACCGGTTGTCATCGACATTTTCGTTTATTTTGCGACACAAGTAACTCGACAATCAAGCCTTCAATTCCTATTAGATTAAAATCCATCTATAACTGAGAAACAAAATTTCGTTTTTTCTTCACACCTTTGAAGTACGACTCGTCTGAAACTCTTTAATCTTTCGAGCTGCATAACCCGCTCGAGATCTTGGTAGGAGACGTTAATTGACTTCGAAACTTAAGCTACTTTATATTCTGCAGCAAATACACTTGGCACAAAAATTCTCCTCGTTTCCGCTACGTTGATCTAGCGGTCTTTGGTCGTAGTACTATTCATATTCATACCCCGACGGTGAGTTTACCCGATGTACCCATTTGTTTTGATTTAATGAATAAACGATACCCGTCGGAATTGTTGAAAATTTAGGTCCAAGTATCCACATTCGTTCATCCTATTACTATGTTCATATTGAGTTTGTATCGATGATTATCGCATTGCGTATATTGTACACAAATTATTCTATGTTATTGAAATTGTGGGACAATCCGGCGTACTATTATCCACCGGTAATCGATGTCGTATTCAATAACAAATCCATATATAGATGATAGGGAATCAGGAAATATTTTAGTACTGATATATGTATATCTTATGTAGATGAAAAATTTCATTTTAGGGCAATTAGTATGAATATCAAGAATAATTCAGACTCGGTTTAAATAATGTAAGTGACAATTTTCCAGTGATAATGGTAAATGAAAGAAATAACATTTGTTACAAATTTAGTAAAGCATTAAAAAACGTTGCACATTAGTATATTAAAATACAATAAGATACAGCACCTGCCTCTGTGTGTATTTATAAAAGTCAATAAATAGTGAACACACATGAATGGGAATCGAGAATTTCAGATATAACCTCGTGCATATGTTATGAATGCTATTTCACGGTGAGAGGAGTATCTTGCGTTATTCTTGAAAAGATGTGTATACTCACCATGTACGTCTGGTTTAATATCAACTGTGAGTGGTTCCACGAGAGCAATATTGTTGACTTTACACGTGAACGTTGCACCTAACTCTTTCCGTGTAATTTGCATCTCTAGCAAACTACTGTTAGTGCCTATCCCAGTATCAGCGATGGTCGACGAACTCGTCGCTGTAATGAAACAGTTTCTATTTCTCGACGTATACACGTTGAACATACGATTCTAGTTACGCGTTGTGAAAAGCGTCGCATAAGTTTCGAGAACGCAACATACATCGAAATACATGTATGTACGCATACAGCGATGAATTGCGAGAGCGTTTAATCAGTCATTTTCCAGAAGATTCATGTAGAACTAATACCTTTTTAACAATTAAATGAAAAATGAGAAATTCCCTTAATAATTCGGTATCATTATCTACTAACTGATTAATGAAGAACGCGTCAAGTATTTCCTTGCCTTTCAGCAGTCACGCTTGAATAATGGTTTAGTGGTAACGATCCTTCTACATTTTAATTCACACCGCAATTCCAGCAAAGCGTGGAAATAAAATTATACATTTGCGACGTTCATTTATCTTCAACTAGGATATTATGTATGAAATAAAGTTTCGTATGCTGAAGCTTGCGAGCAGAGAGTATTGAAGTACATTATGTTCATGTATTCAGCAATTGTTTGCATCTCCCAGAGCTCAAATTAATATCATTTATTGCTTTCGTCGAAGACAATAAACTTTGACTCTACGGAAAGGCAAGATATTATTTCAATAAGAAAAAGAAAAAAGAAAAGGTTTCCAAGCCAGGTCATATGTTTCATATAACCGGTCTCAATATTGAGATATCAGGTTGGTTATAAGTATATAAAGGTACCCATATCGTATAAGTATATTTGTCGTAAAGAGAAAATCTCGAAATGCGATGCACGAGTTGCCAAAGTGGCAGTAAGTTGTTAGTAGTAACGAGCAACATTGATCAAAGAGGGGAGAACCGTGTTTCATTTATATCTTTTTCGAAATTCCCTTAAAGACACGCATAACGATACGAACTGATACGCTGCTCTGTCGCTTTCGGCCAAGTCACGATATATTGCAAATCTTACCTTCGAGTAGTTGGTCACCTTTAAACCACTCGACCGTGGGTATAGGTTTGCCTTCACCGCTCTCGCAATACAAGGATATCGTCGAACCCTCGTTTATAGGTCCTAAAGTAGCACCGGTGCTCAGAGTGTTCTTTGAATTTTCATCGATGACACGTATGTACGCCGGTTGCACTGTAACATACATAAATACATTCATATTGAAAATTGTTCCTTTCTGCGAAATATTCCCGTTTGGTTTTCGTCGTTTTGAATATCGCACGAATTTCTAAAATATTTTTTCAGCGTTTCTCTCTCTCTCTCTCTCTCTCTCTGTCGTGTGCGAGCACAATACTGGCACTCAATAATCGGACATGTATAATCGTAATACTTTGCCTTCATAAATAACTGTACATTTCTCTTAAGTATGCGCGTGCGGTGAAATAGCACATTCTCTCTCTCTGCTATTTCTCGTCCTCGAATAAATGCATTCTTTAAATAAACTCTTTGACGGAATAACCTTTATTTCGCATTACAGAATCTCTTAACAAGAATGTACATCGCATATTCTCTTACACACGGAGATGGCGCTCGGTTGCCTTGTTAGAAAACTATCCGTTTCGCTTTGATGTTTAAGAAAGTAACGAGGACGCTTTGCAAAAAAATTGCATCTACGATATCTCGTCATAAATAACGTATTTATGGAAATGCCCGGCTCTCGCGCTTAAAGTTATACGTGAATCGATCGCTGCGCGCGAATGTCACAAATGTCAACACTTAATCTGCCGTTCAGCGTTTGTGCGCCGTAAATAACGAAACCGCGACTGTAACGTGGATATGCCGATATTTTCAGCGTTTCGTCTCGTGCAAATCGATGATGTTTATATTTGTCCTGTATAAAAATGTAGGTATAAATTTCACCGTCTATTCACCGTTGTATTCTGCACGTAAATATCATTTACTTCAATCGTATAGAGACAATTGTCAGAGTACGCTTGCCAACTTATCTTTAGACGTCTAAAATAGCATCTTCAGTCGACTGAAGTACTAATTCAAGTTCGTACGGCAGGCTATTATGTATACGTTAATTATATGTCGTTTTACGTATCGTGAGAGCATTTCCAGTAATAAAAACTGATACATAAATTCTTTCAATCTGAGAGAAAAGTTCTTTTTTCTGTGACGTATGCTTTCCCGTAATGAGAAATTCGATCACGACATTCGAAAGCTCCGCTACATCTCTGCTCACGGCACGTTCGATCCGATAAGTTTTTTTCTTTTCGCGCATTGGAGGTAAACCGATAAGTATTGCATGGTTTGAAATTTTAAACCGCCGCCATATCGATTTTCCGGACTGAAGAGTTTTCTAACTTTCTACAATTCCTATGAGAGTTAAGTGACTGCCACTTATCAAATACGCGCCGTCTTCTCGGGAACCTATAAATCAGACGCCCAGTAACACCGACTGAATGCCTTCAGGCCATGATATGCTCTATTATGTAGCTGTTGTTGTGTACGTGCTTACACGCACCTATAAACGCACCGTGTCGTGTATACTGAAAGCATTTGCATGCTTACGTGTATGCATACTTGGCGCAGCATTAAATGTAAATACTGCTGCAGACAAATACCATTTTTAAGGCTAGCCATACGGCAAAAATGAGTTATGGAATCGCTAATGATGGAACATATTCGAGTGCATTTAACGTTCCATAGTTTGCGAAATAAGCTTTCGCTGTACTCATCGTGGCTGGGAATGTGATATGAGCGAAACACCGAGGAAGAGATCTCAATGATCCTGTTGAGCTCATTAAAATTACGCGGAAATTTCTCTAAAAGAACTGAAATATTTCAATGAAATCCTATTTTCTATTTTTCTACTAATTGTGTTCATTCAGCTTTTTTTATCACGTGTGCGATCGATCGGGTAATGTCGTTGACAAATGATAATAAATATTGATTTAAGGAAGGATTTATAGTATTTTTAAAAAGTCAGATAGTCACAAAAACAGTATCTTGTGATATGAAATAATTCGTAATATGTATTATTTGTGTCCTCAGAAGTATTATTATATTCGGAATACTGAACGCGTGTATCTCTCGTAGAGAACTGCAAATATTAGTGTATCAAAATGTTAATCTATGCACGTTAGAATATCCTTCAACATTCTGTATTAACCGGAGATTTATTTTCCTTGTGATGTGTTAATGTATCTTTTAAATTCAGATGTAAGGTTTCTCCTGATACGTTTTGCCCGGCAGGAAATGTCGAGAGCGATTGTATCGGCTTCTAAATCTTCTCACTTTCCGTTGCTTACATTTCGTACTTCGTTCGTTTAAACATTTCCAAGACTTCATCCGCAGCTTACTCTTACACTAAATTGAAGTCTTTATGGCGCGGCGATCTGGAAAGCGGGCTACAATGAACGTCTTTTGTATTACTTATTTCTGGGTTCCATTTCAGGATTTCGGGTCGAATTGATCAACCCAGTAATCTCATACGATATATCAATTTGGTATATCAGTGGATTAGTGAAAATAACACCGTCCGACAAAGTTTTCCCCGAATACGAGGAGTCATTTTAATCATTTAGTAGATTTTGGTCGATAAATATGGATCTGTTGTCTATATTTGGTTAATATGTCACAATCTTAAGAAAAACAGGATAAACTGGATCAAAACCGATAATTTTGAAAGGATTTTATGATGTTGGAGTAACGATAGAAACATTTTTTTTCTTAATTTCATTAATACCACAAGAAAATACTTTAAGTTTTAAAATACGTTTTATTTCGTCTCTGTACGATTTATGAGATATAGCTATTTAAAATTATTACTTTTCCCATGTAAATGAAATTTACAGTAATTTTAACAGCTATATCTTCCAAACGAAAAATCGCACGAGACGGAACGTATTTTAAAGCTTAACGTTTATATTTTCTTATGGCATTAGCGAAATTAAGAAAACAATTTTTTGTCGTTGCTACAATGTCAGGAAACCCCTAAAAACCGTTGTTTTTGGTGCGTTCTATCCTATTTTTCTGAAAATTGTGACGTGATAGCTAAATTTGGGCAACATCCATCGTGTTTAGTGGCCGTAAATGCGCCAGAAATGGCTATTCACACTCATGGGGCAGAATGGTGTTGGACAGCGTAATCAGTTAAGTCTAATGAGACACGAAGATTATATATTTTGTCAACCAATTCTATTAAAAGTAGTTCTCCTATATTTTTGGAGCCGCAAAATTAAAATACGTTTCTGAAACTTGGATGCTTTTTTATGAAAATTAAAGAGATGAATTATTAAAATATCGTTCTGTTTTTTATCTGTAGAGAGACTGACTGAAAGTTATTAAAATAGCCGTTCACCCAATAATGTTAAGAATAATTAATTAAGCACTACGCTTACTAATTAATAAGCGTATCATTGCTTTTTGAATTTATGTTTCATTATGATTATTACGCGAACAGGAGACGCGCGTACGCGTAGCATTTGTCATGCGCGTTTTTACCGCAAACAGTCGCAATTTCTAATCTAAACGCGACCTCGTAAGTTTCGCCGTAAACTGGCTATACAGAGAATCTCATGTCTTCTCGCGCGTTCATTTGAAGTTGAATGAAATGCCGGATATGAATAAACTCTTCAATATGCGCAAGTGACGTCCGCGAGAGAACTATTGTAACATTTCCCCTTTACAGTCAAAGTCGCAGTATCGCAAAGTACTATCGCAAAATGTACTATTCGCGATTTTCCCGACATGTACGCGCGCAACAGTAGTCCGCATATGTATATTGGACTTTCAAGTGCCTGAATATCAAATAACTCTTTTCAGCGAGATTCATATCGCAAACTCGCGAGTGGCACCCTTGGTGAAACGGTAAATTTTTACTACCGCGCATGTTGTTGCGTTGTAATTTTAATTCGCTCTCGCGATTCTTCGCGAATCGGGGGTATTACGCGGACGCGCCGTTGATAACCCGAGCGAAACAGAGCCACTGCGCTCTTGTACTTTGCTGCAAGGCAGAATTTGTTGACGAATCTCGTTGACATCTGATGGTACACGATAAACTCACTTTTGTAGAACCGTGACGCCGAGAGGTCGATACCATTCTTTGTAGTAGGCACGCCTTTTTTACACAAAGCCTTTTTACAAAGAGGCATGTTTTGACGAAGTGATGTATTATAAAGTCCGCTAACGAGTTTCAGACGTTGATCGATATTTGACGAAATACGACGCGCGTGATTCGTTAAACAATTTGTTAACGAGTTTCTATACGGCTTATGTCTTTGTCGCCTTTCATTACGGGAGAACAATGTTTCGCTCTGCGTTCAGGATTGCTAACAAATCGTATTACCTTTGAGCGCGTAGCGCACGTTTCTCCCACTAAACGATAATACCTTGATACTAAAGGTCGTTCTACATTAGTGACAAACAGCCAGTTGCACGATCGCAAGCGATATTATTTCCGGCCGTAAGGCTGTTGCTAGTAGCAATCGCAAGGTTTGCTGGAATCCAAAGTTTGCATTTCTGCGATCTCGCGACAGTCAATAAGCGTCCAGCTTCGCACAGTTATGTAAGTTATGACGTTTACTTAAGCTATCCGTTCGTCTTTTCTGTTCCGCGTGTGACAAAGCTTTAAGGTTAGGAAACTTTAATAATGAGTGATTTAGAAATAAATGAAGATAAATATCTGGATATAAACTCTGAGAGTATTCATAAAAATAACGTGGATTTGATAAAGATTGTAAACCGAGGTCCTGGTTCCAAGATGTTTAGTAAAATCATAGAAAAAAAAGCCTAGAATTCTATAGTATCAATTTTGCCATAAGTAGTAAAAATAATTGAAAATGTCGGCGCTGCTTTGTGTTCATTTCGGTGTTTGAATGAATTTCGAAGACGGGAACTTCGTGGACGTCAGTAAAACATTGACATTGTTGATTGACTGTGACTTACGACTAACGATTGGAATGTAGAAACTCATATCGCAAGATTCTTGCGCCTTGCCATAGTGCGACTGTGCGATCGATCACTTGCGACTAATGTAGAATTATAATTTTTTATAATTTCAATATTTCAATTTGTTTTCGCGTATGTCGCGGAGAAACCCAAAAATTCCATACTGTTCGTTATACTTTGCGCTTTAACGTCCGTTAAGATAACTCTTGATTCAACTTTAATAAGATGCAGTCATA